CTCCTCCTCCTCCTGCTCCTCCTCCTCCTCCTCCTCCTGCTTGTCCGGCCTCTGTCTGTCTTCCTCCTGCTCCTTGCCGTCCCCACCCTCCCATCTGTCAGAGGACAGGAACAGCTGTGGGTCTACGTGCAGGCTGCTGTTCTGGGCCATGAACCTGGCTGACTGCTCGTTCCAGAACTGGCAAAAGTAAGGCACCTGCTCCACCAGGCTTTGGTCTATGGCCTCCTGGAAGGTCTTGTCTTCCAGCAGGCCCCTGGGTGGCAGGGAGGGAGAGAAGTTTCTCACTGAGAGGTGCTGCAGCCCCCTGTGAGGCTTTGGTGTCAGGGTTCCCCAAGGAGCAGTTCTTGCTTGCTGTGTCCACAAACAGGAGCTAAGTGGGGGAGGGGAGCCCGAGGTCCATTGCCCCTCCCACCTTTCTTTAGACTAAGGCATCTCTGAACCCCGTGGAGTCTTAGAGGGGAACATTATATGGTGGAGACAGAGCTAGGAGGCCAGAGTTACACAGATGAGGGACAGGAACCCTGGGGAGAATGTGAACTGGCTCTAGACCGCATCTACCAGCCGTGGACGGGCAGAACTCAGGACCCAGCCTTGATGATCCCTCCAGGCAGCTCCATTAAAGCTGTACCACCCTGGAGGGCCTGAGGCCACCAATGGAAAGATTTTGTGAGGAAGTTTTATTTTTCAGGAAGGGAAGGGCTAGGACTTCAGCAGCTGTGAATGGACCCAGAATTGACTGAATGGGTTGGAGAAATGGGGGGGTTAGGGTCCAGGGGATGGCCAGTCACCTGATGATGGTGGTGAGACAGTCAACCAAAAGTTGCTTCTTCTGCTTGGAGACAGGGGCCCATGTGTCAGGGCATTCTTTCTCAGAAGCCTTCGACTCCTCCCTGGCACACTTCTTCTGTGGCAGCTCCCTGAGGTGGGCCGTGACATTGAGTGGCCTGGGCAAGGCACCATGCTGGGGCTGGGGGCACGAGCAGTGGTGGTGGCCTTACAGTCATGAGGACATAGATGAGTTTGGGGGTGAACCCAGCCTTAACCCAAACACGGTGCTACTGCATTTGGGGAACTAAACCCAACCCTCAGAATCAGCACAGGACCTGGAGAGGCCCCAAGTTGGAAAGGAAGGAAGGAGGGATGGGAGGCCTAGGGGGGTTCCCCAGGGGCTCTGGCTCTTTGCCCCCTCTTCATAAGGGCCTAAGCAGTAATGGGGGCATCTTGGGCCCAGCAGTGCCCCATTAGACCCAATCCCTCCCATTCCCATCATTGCACCTGTTTTAAGCCCTCGGCAAGGGTTGGGTCTGGGCAGCCCCTGTTCTAGAGTGGGAGAGGGGGCAGAGAACAGAGGAAAGAGACCCCCTCACTCCCTGAGAGTTCACCGGTGCAAGAAGTGTCGGGGAAAGTCAGAGAAGAAGTTGGCCAGGAAGTAGTCAATGGCATGGGCGCGGGCAGTGAGACCCAAGAAGAGCATTCCTGGTGAGGACGGCTGGGGACAGGGCCAGAATGTTTCTTCCTTTGGGATCTTAAGATTCCAGCTGGTCGGCCGGTTGAGAGACTGCTGTTTCTTGATGGGGGGCAGCGTCTTTGGGAAGGGGGAGGCATAATAGCAGGGATTTGTGGACTGCATTCTTATCACCGATGGGTCCCTAGCCCACCAACCACGCCTTTTGGGCCAGGCAGGGGCTTGATTCCACCCATTGGCACTTTTGTCTCTCCCTTCTAGGAGGCTGGACCAGGGGTTGGAGGTATCTCTGAGAGTGAGCAAGGACCCTCTCAATTTATCCAAGGAGATGGACCTGGGGCTTACGTCCTTACCTTGTACCTTCTCACAGGTTCACAGGCTGTACAATACACCCTTCTCTGTGGAAGCAAAGAGAACCCTGCTTAGGATACGAGAGCCCTAGAGGGACTCCTCTCTTCCTATCCTTCCTGCTGACCCACCGAAGGCCTGAAGCCAATGCCAGGAGCTGCTGCCCTCTTGGACTTGCCCAAGTCCTAACCACACCCTCTTACGGAACCTTCCCTAGGGAAGTACAACCTACAGACAAGGGAAATCTGGTTATCCAACTGAAGGAAAGTGGAGGTGCCACCAAATATGTGTAGACTGCCCCCAAAAAGCTGGTGCCCTAGAGCTTTGCACTTTGGTGTGATAAGGAAACAGCCTTCCTTATTAAGACTTAATTCAGAAACCCCTTCTTTTGTGGCCCAAGATATGATTTGCATTCACAGTTTGTCCAGAGCTTCAGAGGGGAGCAGTCCCTCCCTAGGAGTTCAGCATTGTGGACATGGAGGTGACTGAGTTAGAAGAACACCATCATGGGAAGGCTATGAGATTGGGAGGGGAGCCAAGACATGTTTGTCTCATGTTTGTTATCGGTCTCCCCTGGCAAATGCTCTGAGCATGTTTAGTGAATGCATACTAGGGGCCAGGCACTGCTGTAGGCATTTCACATGTGTTAACTCAATCTTCCCAACCGTGCTACAAAGCAGAAGATGTTTTACTCGCACTTAAAAATATTTTTAAAACTTTTATTTTTAACCTTCTTAATTTGGGAAATTTCAGACATGCAAAACTTTAGAGAATGCTACAAAGAATCTTCCATTACCCACCACCCAGCTTCAACAATTAGCAACTCAGCCCATCTTATCCCATCTCCACCTCACTTCCGAATTATCTTGAAGCCAATCCCAGATGCCATATTGCCCCCATTTTACAGTTGAGGGAACTGAGAGGTTAAATAACTTAACCAAGATCACAGAGCTAGAAATCATCAAAACCGAGCAACTTGTTCCCAGAGCCTGCACCCGAAACCACCATACTACAGTGTCCTCCATCAGAAGGTGAGTTCTGTCTTGTTTTCCCTGATCCCCAGTACCCAGCACTTCAAAGGCACTTTTTAGCCCTCGCCAGCTTGGCTCAGCAGATATAGCATCGGCCCACAGACTGAAGGGTCCCGGGTTCGATTCTGGCCAAGGGCACATACCTTGGTTTCATGTAGGAGGCAACCAATGGGTGTCTCTCTCTCACATCAATGTTTCTCTCTGTCTCTCTCTCTCTCTCCCTTCCACTCTCTCTGAAAAGCAATGGAAAAAGCATCCCTGGGTGAGGATTTAAAAAAACAAGGCACTTGTTAAATACTAGCTACATGAAACAGGGAATGGTCAGTCAGCCTTCTGTGTCCAAAGAGTCTCTTGGGGAGGTGCTATGCTTAGTCTAACAGAAGAAATCTAATCTCTTAGGGTAGGCTGGCCAGTTTTGCATGCAAGAGCCCCTCGGATCACCACCTCTGTCCCTTCTGGGAAGGCCAATCAGAAAGACCTGTGGTGTTCAAGGCCCACTCTCCCCACTCACCTTCACTTTCCTGTCTGTGATAGTGAACTCCGCTTCCTGCCGTGCTTTCTCATCTTTCCACTCAAGCAGTTCTTTATGGAACTCCTTCAGGAGTTTCTGCTGGTACACCTGTGGCCCAGGACAAGGCGAGAGAAGACCAAGGTCTGGGGGCCTTGTAGCCAGGCCTTGCCCTGGGCCTGTGCTGTGGGCCCCCTCCTTCCAGGGGCTGGCTCTCTCTGGGGACCTGGGGATCTAATAGTGCTCCATCCCAGCCTCTCTCTGGGGCTGGTCCTACCTTGCATACCAGGTCCATGCTGTAGAAACCAGCATGCACTGAGGCCTTCAGAGTCACCACGAAGGGGATCGTCTCTTCCGGAGCCACCATCCCTATCATGGGGCTCACAGACACCTGTTGATTTGGGGAAGGAGTCTCTGGAGCTTCATAGAGGTGGAATAGGACAAGATGAGATGGATGGGATGGGATGAGGTGGTATGACATGGGATGGGAGGAAGTGGGATGGAATGGGAGGGAATAGGGTAGGGTGGGGTGAGATGGGACAAGATGGGATGAGACAGGGTAGGTCTGGAGCTCTGCTGGAGGTTTGGATTCTGTGGACCCAAGGTGCTCTCACCTCCCCAAAGTCTAAAGGCTTCAGCTGCCAGGCAAAGGTAATTGTCTCATTCTTGGAGGTGTTGTTGAGGAACAGCAGGCGGCTACACTTGCTTTGCACAGGAATGTTTCCCAGGGAGATGTGAGACTGGGACAGGAAGACATCCTGCTCGTGGAAACAACACAACAGCAACTTGGGGAGATGAAGAAATAATAACCACAGCAACCACTACCCATCACTGAGTGCTTTCAACAGGCCAGGTACCATGGTAGGCAATTTACATGCATTTGATCCTCACAGTAGCCCTAAGGCACAAGCACTACTATTGTCCCCATTTTACAGATGTGTTGCTAAGGTTCAGATAGCATAAATATTTTCTCCAAAGTTCTCTCACAGGTGCAGCTGGTATAAACCCAGACAGTGTCACTCTGAAGCTTGTGATTTTGAACATTAAAATGGACTTGGAAAGCCTGAGAAATCAGAATTTGCTTAGAGAAGACAGAACTGAAGCCAACATAGTTTGAATCACTGAAGGGTGGTTGTAAATTAATCGGTGATCAGCTGTTGTTATTGTCACTGGGCACAGAACAGGAGCTGTGTTGTAGGGGTGTCTGGAATGACTAAGGCCACGTGAAAGGAGCGTTTTCTCTCTCTCCAGACTGAATGCTTCCAGGTCTGGGACTTTGTGGGACTCTTCTCTGTGTTCCCAGGGCCTCCATGGTGGTCATCCTGCTGTAAGAGTCCAAAAGGGTAGGGGCAGAAGGGTGGCCAGGCAGATGTAGGAGTGGATAGTGGCTGGATGGGTGCATGGAAGGATGGATGGAGAACTGGGTGGATGGATGGATGGATGGATGGATGGATGGATGGATGGATGGATGGATACGTGGATGAGTAAACAGGCCTGTGGGTCAGTGGGAGATGGATAGATGGGTAGGTGGATAAATGGGTCAGACCTCTGAACAGTGAGGAGTGTGTGAATTGAAGGAAGTGTTAGTGACCCTAGATATCTTTCAGCAAAATCCATCTAGGTCCAGGGGTGGGCTGTTCTGTTTGAAGATAATACCTTAGAGCCCTAGAAAGGGAGAGCTTCTTTCCACCCCTTCTGATAAACCCATCACAATGCCCAGAGAAGGGGGTGGAGTGGCTTGAGCAGGAACACCTGTGGTCACTAGGTGGCAGAGTAAGCCTCCCATGGAGCTGGTGCTGCCTCCTAAATCTGGAGGGAGCCTGGTTCCAGGCTTCATCTCTGTATCCCTCCATTCTCAACATCATCTCCTTTCCTTCCCAGCTTCTCATCCTTCTGCATGGGCCACCCTGGACCCTCAGGCTCCTCCTACGCCTCAGGCCTTCCCAGCTCCCTTCCCCCTACCTGTCTAGGAACCATCAGTCTTGAGTGTGTGGAGCTGCTGTCCCATGAGGAGATATTGTGGAAAGGGGCTGTATCCCCCATGGCATGGGGGTCATAGCCCACTCCCTGGAATCGGATTATGGCCGAGTTCCATCCCAGGATGTGTATGGGCACGTCCACCTGGAAAGTTAGGGGAGGGGGAAGGGCCTGGTTAGAGCAAGAACTACTCAGGAGGCCAACTCCAAGCCCCATGTTAGCCCAGGCTGCTGCTCACCACATAGGTCTTGGCCTCAATAGGTGAGAAGATCCACAAGACCTGAGCAGTGGTGCCTGGCTCAATCTCCCCTTGGGGGTTGAGGCAGCAGAAGATGGGATGGTCAAAATTTTTTTCCTGAACCTGCGACAGGATGTTGGTCTGTATCTCATATGTCACGGGCACCGAGCCACCGTTATACAGCTCATATATCTGCAGGGAGCAGAAATAGGGAAACCTCCATATGGGCTCAGGGCTGCCATGCAGAGGGCCTGGGATTCTGTGTCCCCTGCAGGAGGGCAGGTTGATCTCCATAATGTCACACTTACAGTCCCAGAGCTCCCCTAAGTAACTCTGATTTCCCTTCTGGCTTCATCATCCAAGAAGTACGTAGCTATATTCTCAGCCTGTGATATTTTATGATAATCTGTAATCCTTATTTTACTTGCTCTCAGCTTACTTTTGTTAAGGTACAAGGGAACACTAATGCTCGTGTCCTTAGTATTGGAATTTAGGGAAATGTCCAAGCAAGCACCATCCTGACTCTTCATTGTTTTCTAGGCTCTGGTTCTAATCACCTAGGAGGCTGCCACCTTCCACATCTGCTATTAGAGGCAGTCCTGCTTAAAGGCAGACAAGGGAGCAGAAGAAAGGTATGAGGCCCCCCAAGATTAACTCCAAAGTTTGGGAATCACAGAACATCCTGGAAGAAACCAGAGGTGTTCTGACCTAATCCTTCATTTTAGAGTCAAGTAAGTGGAAGCCAGAGAGAATAAAGAGTTCATTTGGGATGGAGGCCTAGCGTCCTCATCTTTTGTGGCACCTACTCCTGAACATGCTGGCTGTATTTCTCCAGCTTGGGCCACCCTCTGAACTTCAGGCCTGGTGCCAACTTCTCCTTGACAACCCCTCTTGGTTGTCTCACAAGCATTTCAAATTTGGCCAGATCCGAACTCTTCACTCTAACACCTGTTCCTCCCTGCAGTGTATTTCCTTTCAGTAAATGGCACTGCATATCCCAGCAGGTCAAACTAGGAGTACAATACATCCTCAATCCCTCCCTTTCTCTTACTTCTCAGATCCAATCCCCAGCAAGTCCCGATGACTCTACCTCCAACATGTAAATTAAATCTGTTCACTTCTCTCTCTTTCCATTGCCCTCTTGCAGGTCCAGGCCCATCATCTATCATCATCTCATGAATGCAAGAGAAAGCTTGGCCACAGTTGTGGAGTTTGGTTGGACGTACAACTGGGTCTGCTGACTCCATGACTGAGGGCATTTTCCATTGTCTGCATTCAGGCCCACAGGAGAGTGGTTCAGTCACTCTGGAAAGCTCTCCTAGAGACACATGAGTCTTTGCTTTCCTTTTTGGGTGCCCAGCTCACCCAGCTCCAGGTGGGGCTTCTGGGGAGCCAGTGGGATAGAGGGTGGTGTAGGGAAGTAAATAGAGCTGGGGGTTGGCAACTCCCTCTCAGGTCCAGGAAGCCCATTCCTCTGCCTCTAGGCTGAATGGCCAGAGGCCCCTGCCCAGAAACACAAGGGCTTCTAAATGGTTGGAAATTTCAGAGCTGTGAAATGTTTGGGCAAATACTATGTCCCCCTCTTGGAGATTTCCAGTGTACATTTTCACAGCAAAGGAACCAGGTAAGGGCTTCTGGAAGGCAGTGTCTTTGTCACCCTGTCAAGAACTTTTGTAGATATGCAGAGATCAGCACGTAGGCCTCTGGGTGACCAGGACAATGCAGACCACTGACCTGTCGCGGGGGCAGTGTGTCGCCAATTGGGACAGGAATGAACTGGTGGCTGGTGGAGGTGAAGTGCACATACTTCTGCTCCAGCTTCACTGTCACACCTACGAAGTTTAGCTGAAGACAGAGAGCTCATGAGTAGCACCCTTCCTGGGAGGAAGTGAAGCACCCAGCAGAGAGACCCAGACCCCTGCTCCCTGGGGGTCTAATTCCCTCCTCCTCTCTTGATTGTCCAAGGAGAGGATCAGGGCTAGGGCCTCACCAGGATCTCCCGGCCATGGGACACCTTGAGGAGCACTGGGAGGCGATCAGTGCCGACGAACAGGTGGCTGGAAGGGAGGACACAAGTCCAGGTGAGTTAGGGAGCCCTGGTACCAGTGGGAGAACAAATGATCACAGCATACCTGTGGCTTTGAGCTGGCAAGCCCCTGGGAGCATGTGGGGGTCCCTGGGTTGGGAAGGGCCAAGAGGGGAACTAAACCTCCCCTGCAATTGGGAAGGCAGTGTCTTCCCAGGGTGGTGGCCACTCAGGTACCCTGGAATCATTCAGGGTATCCTGGAATCACACAGTGCAAGGCCAGGATCTTGG